TTTTTCCGCTTACTGTTTGGCGCTTAGTTGGGAAAAAAATTATCTAAATTGTCTTGTGCTTTTAGTTGGGTTTTCAGCCAACTGTTCCTTGCTTGCTAAACATTCAAGCTTTTAGCGAGCAAGAATTAAGGTGCCTAAAGCGCCCTAAAAATTGCGTATTTGGGAAATTAATACAAGATAAAATTGTGGTTTTTGTCTGACAGTTTTTAATCTAAAAACCGCTTTAAGGCGAAGATGTACAATAACATTTAAACAGATGTTGAAAAAATCAAATCTGTAACAACAGCCGGTTGCCGTTTTTCAGTCTCAAATTTCGGTCTCTTTTTTATTTGATTGAAACTGGAGAGTTTGTGCTTCTAAACCGTCCTGGAAAACAATTTATTTTTCACGTTTTACAAGCATTAGCCGCTTGCCTATTCAGAACCAAGAAGTTTTAAAAAATCTTTAACACTTAGTTAAACACTAATTTCTCAGAAACGGCTGCTCAAATCAAAAGTCACCAAGTACACTTTTTCAAGGAAAAAACGATGGAAAATTCGACAGTTTCAGTAAAACTACAATACAGTGTGACTCAGAAAAGTTACTTCGTTTGAAGTATTTAAAATTTGTAAAGTTTTAGCTCAGATACTTTTGGAAACTCCTCTAATGGAAAAATAATTGCCGATCATCCGAATACTTTCTGCGATTTCACATTAAACTCTTTGCCAAGATTTTCTCTCGTTTTCTTCAATTCGAGAAATTTAAAATGCCTTTTGAAGCTCACTCTGCTTTACTTCGACCAACTCAGAGCCTGCAAGATATTTTTACGATCATGCTGCTGCAATCAACCGCTGGAAACTATTGGAAAATAATCTACAAAACCTCATTTACATTCACTAAGTGTTTACTATTTCAGATCAAAGTTCTTGTTCAAAATATCCGCATTTTACGCCTAGATGATGAGATCGAAAAAATGAACTAAAATTAACTCACTATCTTTTTGACTCCGCCTAGACAAATCCTGGGCCAAATCCATATCCAGACTATTATCCGAATCGGTATCTCTCGTCGTAAAGTCCCGGACATTCTGATATTGTTCATGATCATTTGGGGACATGTTCCACGGTATTACCGGTGAAGTTTGAGCTTTTCTCGGCCCGCAGTCGCTCATCAGCGCCTCAATGGAAAAGGGCCGGGGCACAGGTCTGGAAGGCAGGGAGTCCTGAGCTGATTTAATCTCAGTTTGATGGTGCCCGGCTGGAAATTCCATTGTTTTAGATCACTTTTGCTGCGAAAACAACCGCACACACTGCATTCACACTAATCACCAAACTACCAGCGATTTCTGATGATTTTCAACAATCATCCACTCTGTGCTATTGACTGTGAAAATGTCTGTTCTTAACTGATCTGAAGGACTAAATGGGACGCCTGACTGGTCCTGTTAACGGGATTTTCCTTGGGGGCGTCATGCTTTCGGTTTAGAGCCCGCCTCCATGCAGCCATTGGTTTCCATCGGGCAAATAGGAGCTGGACAATCAACCGAACTGCTACCGATTTTTTAAATGTTTAATTAACCGTGAAAATTAACGTCCGATACTCTATTCGAAATTTTTTTTTCGGTCGTTTCCTCTACTGACTGATTATCGGAAATTAACTGGGAATAATTTGCTATCGAAGTGTTTTCACATTGATTATTTGCTGTAGGCTTGGGGCTTGGTAATTTATGCTAAAATATGCCAATTGTTTATGACAACTGTTATGGCGTATACTCATAAATAAGCGATTTGCATTAACTATGTAGTGGTAAAACTTGGGTGGCAGTCAAGCAAGATGTAATTATTTTATTAGTCTGCGGTTGTTTCCATTTTTTCCAATTAATTTATTCTTTTATTTATTCAAGGTGAAGGAATTTGATGAGGGGGGAGTTGGAATATTTTTCTGTTAATTAATTCAATGTTTTCAAGTTTTTTAAATTTTCTAGACTGTTTTCGAGTTGGTTTTTCGCGTTCACCCCAGTTTTCTTCTTGTTGTTTGGTTGTACGCAAATTTTGAATCTTTGCCACCTCGCAAGAAATCACTGTTTTCGCAGTAGTTTGTTGGTAGTTTTGACTTCAGTTTCCGGTTTTCTTTTGCGTCTTAAAATTTTATTCTTCTGGATGTTTTCGTTACTGTTCTCATCCCTTTTACTTCAAGCTGAGAGCGTTTGCATCTAAATTTTCAGATTGTTGTTGCGTCGATTTGTCTTCCTTTGTTGCTTTCAGGATTTCTGATTTTTCTCCCGCTATTTATCACTGTGTTTTGTCTGGCTTTTTAACGATTTCGACTCAATTTTGTTCTGAAATTGCCGCTGAAAAAGCTGGGTAGAAAATGCCATTTGACGAAACTAACTGTTTTAATCTCTACGATTTTTATCAGATTTTCTTTGTTCTTCAATCAAGCCTTCAAGTTGAATTCTCTCTTGATTTTGACCAATTTTTCAGATTGCTGCGTCTATTTGCCTTCATGTGTTGCTTTCAGGATGTATCATTTTTCTCCCGCTATTTATCACTGTATTTTTTGTCTTTTCAAGTCAAATTTAAAAATTCAATCTGTTCTTGTGCATCTTCTCGATTCCTTTACTTCAACAGGCAGTTTTCGTTAAAGTTTTCATATTTTTCTTGCTTTGAGGATTTCGCATTTTTCTCTCGCCATTTAGGACCTAAAATAAATGTGTTTCCTGCTTGGTTTTTTAATTATTTCAGCTCAATTTTGAGTTGAAATTGCTGCTTATTGCGATTTACCGATTATCAAACGTTGGCTTTTCTATAGTCACTGTTTGGTTCCTACTAACTTCACATTTGAACATATTTATTTTCATACAAGGATTACACCTTCTTATTGCTACTTAATTTACTAACTCCTTAAATCCTACTAACTTTCCGACCTTTGATGATTTTTGCTTGTGGCAAAATACGGTTTTAAGAAAACGCCACTTAACAAAACTAACTTCTCAGACTTTTTACTTGTTTTCTTTATTTTTCATGCAGTCTTCAAGTTGATTTCTCTCTTGATTCTGAAGAATTTGTTGTTAGGTATGCATATATTTGCTATTGTTAAGCTTCGGGACTTTTTTTTGGTGCGTTGCTTTCAAGACTTCTCTTTTTTCTAGCTGTTTATTAACATATTTTCTGTTCGGCTTTCAGCTCAATTTTAGCTCTTTTTGCTCTAAAACTGCCACTTATTTCTTGTTTCGTTTTGCCAATTTTCTAGAGTTTAATTGTTTTGTCACAGTTTGGTTTCTACCGACTTTTTGGTCTTTAAGCGCTTGTACTTTCTGCAATATTTTGATTTAAAAGTGTCATTTGATGAACGTTGTTTCGTTCTGGGTCTTTTTCGTAACTTCCCCTTGTAAATTGTCGGGCGATCTTTCATATATTTTTTATCTTGTTCGTGTGTTATTTGCTCGCTTCCATAATTGTTCCAATCTATCTGAGTTTGTCAGTATTCAAGTAATTTTTCTGTATTGGATTTTGATCAACACTTTAAAATTGTCCTTTGCCTTGATCAATAAGTCTTCGTCAACCCTGAGCAGACGATTTGGTGATAATTTTCTAACTTCTGGTAAAGTTACGGGCTTCACTTTTGAAATTGAGCTATTTTTATTTGTATATTGAGCAGCATAGGTTTCGCTTCTTTTAAAGCATATACAATTCATACACAAACATGTGACTATTCGAGTTATTTGCAAATTTTATTCTTTTGGATGGATGGATTTTTACGGTAATTTGATTAAATAATAATCGCCGACATTAAACAAGCAAGAAAGCCACTTAAAGATGCTCATGAAATTTACCAATTACCGAGGGATATTTACTGCATAATTGATCAACGTAATAGTCGCTGTTCCACTGGAAATTGTTTATTAACTTTGGAGACAATTAGGGATCGCTTCGATTGCTACAAAAACCCGATGGAACATTAAAATGCCTGCAATTACTCAAAATGCAAATTACAGGTTTATAGCAAATCAATGATACTTCAAGAATATACACAATGATTTTCGGTTTAAATAACTTATGGGTCCCAGTTCGCTTAACTGCCATCAAGACCGATAATTTTGGAATTTACCCCATTGAATGGACGAGTCGACCGCCCATTAAATGCCTACTGAAACACTGTTTTATTATTTTCTGAATAAAAACTTCAGTAAGCAATTTGAAAATTGGCCTTTCTAAGAACCAACTGGTCAAACTTTCAACTCCAACATTCGAATTCATTAAACCACCAAATACAAGATGGGGAATTAAAAACGAGCCGAAAAGAGCAAATCGGGGGCACAAAGCATCCATCCTTGATCGGAACACTGAAAAGCGCTTAACCGCAAGCGGAGTCCCTCAGGGTGGCTCAGCCCCAACAGTATTGTTCTTTGCTAATCTTGACGTTTCGTTTCGCCATTTGCATAATTGGCTTTTATTATTATAAAAGACCCTTGCCATTAGTGCTATTGCCAAGCTTAAATTTGTTTAAACTGGTTTTTTTTGCTCCTGCTGCTACGGTCGGGAGTAAAAAAGAGTTTAGGTTTATTGGGCGACATCCAGATCGATTAATGTTAAAAGAGGACTGGAATTTTTTAGAGAATTAGTCGATATTTCGGATTTCATTTTCAGTAAATTAGCATGGCAAAATGTGGCTCAACCGAATGTTTTTTCGTAGAACTTCACTACTTCGGTTCTCATTGCTTAAGAATTTTTCCATCTCGAGTTTCGTCCAATTTTGCCTCAACGTGTATATCAAACAAAAAAAATCCTTGCCAGGTAAATCCTGGCTTTGTTAAATTGTCATCTTAAAGTGGATGTCAGTTAGATTTTACACTTATATTTATATAACGTTTTATACAAACTCAACGCAAAATGGAGATTATGGGGATGATGCGTAAGTCATCAAACATCCTTTGCTTGGAAGCGTCTAAGTCAGTCTACTTTCGAGCACAACTTCGAGCTGATTTTTGGCTGAAGACTGATCAATAGAGAAATTTCGTGTTTCAGCGTCGGCGTTGACTTTAACCACTCTCCAATGCGTTGGTTGTTTGAAAAAATTATCAATAAAAAGTGATCTTCTTAGAGTCAAAAGAATCAATGGAGTTTCAACTGGCGATGAACACCAGCATGTTCAAAGAGGGCAATGACGACTGGAAAAAGCGCCGAGCCATTCCGCTGTCCCAAACGACGTTCCCTCGAAGCCCAGATTCCAGCATAATGAACGTGCAAAGAGAGGAAGATCACACCAGAATATTCGCCTCATTGGTGCCAGACGAAGTCATCTACCATATCCACGACTATTCCAGACGCAATTTCGATGCCTGCTTACTATTTGGGGATGTTTCCGGTAAGTCGCCGGTTTCCCCCGGAAAGGGAAGTGTGGAAAATACAGCGCAAATGTGCAGGTTTCACCGATTTGTGCGAAAAGTACAACAAAACTGGAAAGGGCGGCCCATCCAAACTCACCCAAGTCCTCAACAGCTACATCGGAGCAATGGTGCAAGAAATCCTGTCGCATGATGGGGATGTTTTTAAGTTCTCCGGCGACGCTTTCATCGCCCTGTGGAAAGTGACCGATAATCTTTCCATGAAGGATGCAGTGCACGAAGCCATCGATTGTTCGCTGGTTATCCAGAAGACCTATGGAAGGTACCAAGCGGACCAGGACGTGATTATTCGAGGTTTTACGCTCGTGCGGGAGCGAAGCGATCCGTAAAAATGGGAAAATTTCCAGTCAAGCTGGCAATTTCGGCTGGAAACCTCACGTTCTCCTTGCTGGGGGACATGGAGAATTCGTATTATTTCGTCTTTGGCCCGCCCGTTCTGGACCTCAAAGCTGCAGAGTCGCAAAGCTTTGCCGGGGATATTATTATAACGAAAACCGCTTGGCAACATGTCAGTCCCAATGAGTATCTAGCTGAAGAACTGCGAGATGGAATGCATGCAAAGGTATTTGAAACTTTAAATCAGCGGCAAAAAGGTGCTTAACACAGTTGCTGCACACGGAGGTAAAACAGCTTGGGAAATCACTTGAGCATGCATCGATTTAATGAAACTTCTGCGAATTCTTTAGCTAAATACTGGCGAGCGGGTTGTCGACTACTCATTACTACACAAAATAGTCGTTAGAAAAAAATAATTGCCTCTTTGCCCGCTTTTAACCGAACCAAGAGTGCAACGCCGGAAGTTTTAAAGCTTCCAAGCATATCTTTGGGGAACTTGTACTTTTGCAAATTCATGAGTATTGTGTGCAATTAAACAAGTTTTGGGGTTGAATTTTTATTGAGCCAAAGGCGTTTTAGATTTACGGCGTCGGCCCCAACTGGAGGAATATCCAAAGAGCCACTCAATTCAACAAAGGTAAGTAAATGCGCGCTTAGCGTGAGCAAATGAAAGTGGGAAAAACGCATTTGTTCCGTTCGTGTGATTCAAACAATTGCGCGCTTACCTTAAAGGAGATCGAAGAAATCTCTGAATTTAATGCGTTTTTTCTTAAAGCAATTCATCTTCATTCAACTTCTGCAATATCTGAGTTACGCCTGCAGATGATGCCGCCAACTTCATCCAGTCTTCAACAGATGAAAAGATCAGCGACGTGAGTATAGAAGGTGATGAAGAAATGGATGATACGTCAGCAACTCCTTCAGTGGCGGATTTGCCGAGAGGCTCAGTCGACACTACAATTTCAGTGAGCGGCCAAGTCTTCAATACTGCCAGTGATCAATACGCCTGTGAGTTCAGCATTTTACTACCTTTTTTTCGCAGTTTTCGACCCAAAACTTCAAGGACTTAGTCCGGGTATTACTCTTTCGCAAGACCAAGAGCCCAAAACGAGTCTCGCTCATCACTTCTCAATGCTAAAACATCACTTGCATTATTATTTCTTCATTTTGCCTGGATGCTTCGGCTTCACAGCAAACTGAGCATCTAGAGCGGTTTTTCAGTGCGACCATCAGTGAACATGTGCTTAAGATTGCGGATGTTGAAGGACCTGAAGAAATTCATCATTTCCCCGGTGGAACGAGGCGTGATGGCCGATGAGCCCATAGAGTATCTAACGGAAATCCGTCAAGTCACAATCCTGTTCATCAACTGCAAAATCAATATCAGCGCCGATCTAAAGTCGGCCCAAGTTATTGATATTGCTGATGAAGCTTTTGTTAACGTCAGCAAGTAGGCAACTTAAAAAAATCAGTTTTGGACTGTGCTTTGACTGGTTGAACTTTCAAGACTGGTGAAAGAAAAGTACGGCTGCTTAAACAAACTGAACATGTTCGACAAGGATCTGCTGATGCTGGTGATTTTCGGCCTTCGCGGCCTGAAGCATGAGATGGAGTGCCAAACGGCATTGAAATGCGCCAAAGAATGCTACGAGAGTCTGGTGAAAATTCCCCATATGGCTGGTGTTGGAGTGGCGGTTACAACTGGTAAAACGCGAGGTTTAGTGGGCTTTAAACACCCGGGATCCTCCGCAGGAAAGACCTACTGTGGGGCCTTTGGCCACACCTTGAGGCGTGAATACACCGTGATTAGTTTGATCGTAAATAAGGCTGCACGTTTGATGGTCGCCTATCCGAACAAAGTGACATGCGATAGGGAAACTTTCCTGCACAGCAAATTGGAGGCGAGGAACTTTATCTTGCAGGAGTACAAGCCGTTGAAGGGGATTATCAATCCGGGGCCGATTTACGAATTTAAGGAAGTTGAAAGGTGATTTAAGTTGGCTCAAGTTGCTTCAGACCCATTTCCATTTTGAGACATTCAGCTGTTCAAATTGAATTCTAGCACGCGAGAAGTGGCATTAACAGTGTCAATGCGACCTCTTTTGGGCCGAGGACAAGAAATTGGTTTATACCTGCACCTGTACAAAACAGCCAGGGATCGTGCCAAACAGAATAGCACAGAAAATGAGGAGTTTTTCGGAATCCTGGTCATACAGGGCGAGTCTCGGCAAGGCAAAACGCGCCTCCTGGAAGAGCTGATTTATACCACCGACTCCCAAACGCCGATTTGCCGATTTACTTTGACGAAAACCGACTCAAAAGTTTGTAAAACTCCTGCGCCCACTAGGCATTTTTTTGCACGATTATGATAATTTCAGACTCCATATGCATCAATTAGACTGATGTTCAATCCTCTGTTGTCCCTAACGGAAAAATCGTCCACATCTGAGCGCGAAATGAAGATATTGAAGCGTCTGCGGAAGCACCAGATGGAAAAAGAAGCGTATTGCCTAAATGATATATTCAATGTGAATTTCAAGACTGCCCAACAGTACACCAACCTGAACAACAAGGCCAAGTACAAGATACTGAAAAATGTGTTCAGGAACTTCTGCCAGGGCGTGCGTAGTTCCACCTTGGATTCTTCCGCCGCTGATTTTGCCTGATTTTCCAGGTGTTTGGCGTGTTTTGGGTCATCGCCATTGATAATGCGGAATTCATCGACAACGAGTCCTGGGTGTTGATAAGCATTCTATATAGAATGAAGCTGATTTTCATCGTGGCTACAATGGGGCTGCGCAGCATGCTGACCCCAGTGGCCATGGAAGTGTTGCGGATGCCCAAAATCAAGATCGTCCAGATGAAATGCATTGATAAGTGGTATCATGTGGGCCTGGCCTGCCAAATGCTTGATGTGGACGCAATTCCTGCGGAATTGGAGAAGTGCGAACATTTGCCGATAATGCCGGCATTCAACGGTTGATTGCACAAAATGTTGCAGAGTCATTCAGTCTAGGAGTAACGGCAATCCTGGATGGGTGGAAAGTTTCCTGATCAGTCTTCTGCAGTCTGCCGGTTTGTTCATCAAAACCGTAACTAGGAAGTTGGCTTATGAGAGCGGATTGGTAATTCCTCCACTGTATATGATGATAAGGTAAGCAACAGGGTTTTGCATGTACTCGATGCAGTTGAAGAGGCTCAGGGGCTTCCTGAGGTCCCAGCTTTGTAGGAAAGAGCTAATATTCCAATTCCTGCAGACTATCCGAGCAAGAAAAGGACCTATGGATTGAGATAATGGAAGAAGGCAAAGCCCAACCATCAGACACCTTTTCCAAGTGGAAAATGTACGTGGACAGTTGCAGGGTGAGTCCCATGCTTCCAGTTTTCCCCAAAATCCCCACTTTTCTTCCAGGAAAGTTATCCTGATCTCACAGTGGCCAAATCCCTGAACGACAAATTCGACTTGAACGCCACCATCAAAGTGTGCGTCCTGAACCCCACGTTCAACATCGACGAAGTCGATCCAGAACTTTCGATGGACGTGATCATCTTGAAGACTTTCGACTCGCTGACGTCCTACGAACAGTTGCTGATCAAGTGCAGCGCTATTCTGGGCGATATTTTCCCCAGGGACATGCTCATGTACATCATGTCTTCATCGGCGGTTAGACTCACGGCTCTTGGTAAAAGCCGGAGACTGGAATGAATTTTTGTGAAACTCCGCGGCTTTCAGCGGTGAAAAAACTGTTCGAGATCCATGTGATCAGCTGCGCAAGGGGAAACTTCATTGAAGGAGGGCTCATTTTCAAGGAGCGACTGAAGAACCCGAATGAAGAGACTGAAGTTACCTGCGAGTGCAAAGGGCTGATAATCGATGGTAACTTGACCAGTTTAGGCTTGGGCATTTCGCAGCTGCTTGGCTTTTCGCAGAAAATTGCCAGGATCTGCCCAAATACGCCTCCTGCGGCTATATGAGATTCCTGTCGACGACTTTCAGGGAAACCACATACAATCTTCTGACCGATAATCAGAAGCGGGAGTTTCATGCACGCGCCATCAGATACCTGGAGAAGGAAACGCGCAAGTGTCGGGCATGCGGCAATGGATATTTCACCAAGTATATGGGAAATCGCCTGGACTATGTAAGGAGTGTAGCTTGCTGCTGATGGTGTTGCAGGTTTTCCTCTTTAGGATCTGAAGCATTTGAGGAGGAAGAAAAAGAAGAGGTTCGAGAGGAAGCAGGCGCTTTCAGTGGATCAGATCAGCAACACGACTGGGGGCCCTCAACGAGAAAGTGACACGTTGCGTTTCTCCATTTACAGTGGAGGCAGTGGGTTGTCGGATCCGCTAGGGAACCGGTAATTTTACTAAAAGCAAGCTTATCCTCACTGTCCAAAACATCCTTGGGACAGCGCGACGAAAGACTCAGCAGGAACAAGCCACGCGCTTCCCTCTTCCATTGGTGCCTCCCATATGTCGGAGTACTTTCAACTGTCCACCTCCAAAAGCTTCGACTCTGACATAGAATCTGGTAAGTACTGAAGATGGTCTAAGCTTTCGGATGAAACCCCTGCTTCTGCTCGTAGACTTTCAAATGATTGACGCTGGAATGGGGTTCAGAACAATAAAAAAGTACAAGAACGACTACAATATCACAAAGGCATTTTCCGATGCCGACTTCAGCCAGTGCACTTGCCCGCTTATTTTGACCACCATGTACACGCAAATGATCGAGCACTGCAGTGGCGCTGGTGAGCTCTTTCCTCTTCAGGGATTCCCCGTCAATTCCTGCTCGTTTAGGCCTGGTGGAGAAAATGATGAACGCAATGATAGACTTCTGTTACGTCTGTATTGAGTCGCAAAATGTTCCGCAGACTTTGAAAATTTTGGACGAAGCCCTCGATCTTCTGGATGTAGGTAAAGCTGCAGCATGCAAAAATGTACCCCACCCGCGTGTCCTTTAGGGCCCTCTGCGCCACACGCTGGAACTGGATTGGATGGCCATATTGAAAAGAGGCAAACTCTACTCCATCATGGGATACGCGCGGATTAAGTTGGGCCACTACGAGGAAGGTTACAAGCATCTACTGGACGCCCTGGATTGCTACGGTATTGGTCCGGGATACCGGGATAGCCATCAACTCCAATAACAACTATTGCAGGAGTAAAGTTCCCAGTGAACTCCCTATCGCTTTACCTACAAAAGGCCAATTTGAGCTTGCAACAGGACATGTCCCTGTACTGTTGCCCATCATTTTTCGTTGGAAAGGGCACCGATGATGATGTGTCCAACTACTGCAACGACGTGGCGGAATCTTTGATCTACATGTTCGAATATTACAAGTGCAAACAGCTGTGGAATCACGCAAAACTGGCAGCGTTGTGGGCCCTGAAGAAGGCTCGCACCTCCGAAACGGATTTTGCGTTGCTGTGCTTGGGCTACGCGAACATGATCAATGTTTGCACGCATTTCGGCGAGCAGAAGCAAAATGTGGCTTTGGAGGTGTTCGCTTTCGAGCTGTGCCAAAGGAAGAAAACAACGGTGGAACGCGAGGAGTTGAAGGCTGTTTCCAAGCTGTACGATGCGATATTTGTGGCCAGGTGAAGAGCGGGTTTTTAGCGTTTCTGCCAGAAGTCTTATTGGAGGAGTATTTGGATTCTGCACTAGGGCTTGTAGAGGTGAAGTGGAAAAGTCCATCCATATCGGGTATTTGCTGTGGCGCATCAGTTCCTCCACGCACATGACTTTTATCCTGCTCAGCCTGCTTCCAGTGCTAGTGCTGCTGATTTTGATGCGAAAGCACATCAATGAAGCCGGCAATCTGATGCAGGAAATCCTGCTAGTCGCTGCTGAAGACATTGATATTTCTGGTAATCTTAGTCAAAGCTTACGGTGCAAAAAACAGTTGCAG